TGTTTATTTCCTATTCTGTGACTGTTTAGTGTAGGTTAGGGTAATTATGGTTTAGTTTGATTGTTAGTTTGTTAATAACTGATGATAGTGTGAATTAGGGTCAGGTTTCAGTCTCGATTAGTATCAATTAGATTCTACCTTAGAGGTTTGGATTTGCTAATTAGTTTCTAGTCTTGTAGTTAATTAATCATGGTTAGTTTGGCCAAAGTAAAAGGGGGCTGAGGTTTGGCTAGGGTAGTAATTTAGAATCCAAATTAAGGGTAGTTTAGGTGTTTTACCTAAAGATTCTGCTAGTTAGAACACCTAGATTCTTCTAGATGGGGTTCAAAGTATAATTTCAAGAAACCTAATGCAGTAACTTGAGAAAGAAGTCAGAAAATAAGGGACTATTTGGGTAAAACTGAAAAATAAAAGAGGGACTAAAGCTAAAATTGAAATCTGAGGGTTGCCCTCAGTTTTTGGCCTATAAAAGGCAGTCTTTATTGCCTTGCAGAGAAGGTTTTTTTGGGCGGAAACATCTGAAAATCCCCAAAAGTTTCAGCCTCTAAAAACTCCCCCCAAAAGTATTCTATAGTTTCCACAAGCTGAAATTTGAATTTCAGATACAAAAACTAGATCTGGAATTCGAAACCTCTTTTAGATCTTAAACTCTTCAGAAAAAACCAAAAATAACAGAAAACCTTCGAAAAATCCCAAAAAATACTGTTCCATTGAAAACCTTAGGTTAATTTCGATTTTTAGTTGTTGATTTACATCTTCTAGCTCAATATTTGGTTGCTGAAGTTTTAGAGATTTACTGGTTTTGATTTCGAGTGGTTTTGGGTTCAATCAAGTTATTTTTGGTCATTTGTTGGTGATGTGTTTATACAAGTCACTTCTGGGCTGATTTTGATAGTATTTGTGTGGGTTGTGAACTCGATTTGAGCCACTGCTGATCATCTGATTACTGTTGTTGATTCCTCACTCATTTTACATTCTACTTTCCAGGTACATACCTTGAACCAGTTGTGGTGTAGCTCAAGTTGGAAATGAAATGAAAATACTCGCCCCTTTGCTTCTTAAACTGTGCTTGTTAGAATGTTATGTATTAGAAGCTAAATAGATGTTAGATATAACTGTTTAATGTTGATTTGTATGTACGTAAACCCTGGATTGTATAATTTGGACTGAACTGGACTATTTTCGAGACTGTTTAGATATTTGGAATTAGTTGTAGTCCATTTCCATAATACCTGAATGATGCATGTGAAGGTTAGATCTAGATTGCTGTAGTAGGGTCATGAGCAGTTCATTTCTAAGTTTTCCTTTTTTTTTTAAAGAGTTACGATCCAAATCGTGAATTCATAGTTCATCATAATTCTTGTTGCGGATTTTGACCTTACCATCAGCTCTTATATTAAAACGTTAGTAAAATCAATGTCAATGTAGTCTTAGTAATCAATGAAGAGCACAGAATCTCAATGTTAGTATGAATAGGCGTGTTGGTTTTAAACCAGGGAATTCGCACTCGTTTATACAGAGCCTGCATGAATTAAACAGCCTATTATAATTGATGACTGCTCCAGCTTAATCGTGGCTCCTTATCATTGTTCATATCAATTTGTAGTTGAATAGTCACACGAAAATAAACCGGTTATCATTGTAATAGATATCACTGTTCATATCAATTATTGCAGTTAATACGTAAAATGACGCCTTCCTTCAGTTTTCTAGTTTCATGCCTCCTGTAAGCCAGTACCAAACCAGCTCCTTCCCGAACTGGACCAAATTTTAGATTAGGGTCAAGTATGGGACCAAATGGCAGGCCCAGTGGTGCGGTTGCCTGAAGCTCTGTTTACTGCTTTCTATAGTGGGCTCATGGAGGTCAAAATCTTGAACGTTGGTATGAACATGCGGAGAACCTCAAGTTATTCACATAAGTATTGGGTATGATGGCAATAAGATAAAATTGCACTATGAATTTGGGTTTTTGAGTTAGATAGCGGGTTCAAATTAAGAGGGTTTTCCCTTTTGTTTGAATCCGGACTTGAATTTGAAACCCGAATTTCGTAATGCCAATCAACTAGGCCCTTTTAGAGACAAAATAAGTAGAAAATTGTAGGTTGCTTTAGGTTGGCCCTTAAATAAAATAAATGAGGTGCGCCCACCAAACAAAATGCATACATTGCGGGGCCCTTTTAAATGCTTATATTAAAATACATAGAATTCGGGACGTGCCGTTTAGAGAATTTTCACGGCCTCCCGCGAAGTTAATAACACGTTAGCCACTTTAGGCGCGCTTTTTAATAATTTTACCTTCTTAACTACGGGTGTGCATTTCATGCGACCCAAATCCAAATCCCAAAACGTTGAATAAGAGGTGTCAAGGATCCGGGTGCATTTCATGTGACGTGATCCAAAAACACGCTCTTAAACGACGTTCACTTTCATAAAAGCTAATTAAAAGCGGTTAAACAATTCTAAAATTGCGATAGGATAACATGTATTAAAATCAGACTTTAGCCAAATATAGCAGTTGAGCGACCGTGCTAGAACCACGGAACTCGGGAGTGCCTAACCCCTTCTTCCAGGTTAACAGAATTCCTTACTCGGATTTCTGGTTCGCGACTGCTAAACAGAGTCAAACCCTTTCCTCGATTCGGGATTCAAACCGGTGACTTGGGACACCATAAATCTCCCAAGTGGCGACTCTGAACTTCTTAATAAACGAATCCCATTTCGATTGTCCTTTAATTGGAAAAACTCCTTTATTACACCCTTCCGGGGGTGTAGTAAGTAAGAAAAAGGAGGTGTGACAACATCATTACTAATCAACAACCACCAAATTAAAGAGATCGCAATTACTCGTTCAACAGGTATGGCTACCCATTTTAAAGAATCTAAACGCAGTTGATTTAGGCAACATGGCCCATGTTAGAACAAAATTGTATCATCCTCAATCCTCACGAAGGGTTCTGTTTTGAATCCAAGAAAGTATATGTAGCAGGGCCACTCCTTTTAATTTCGTTGATTTTAATATCCCAGGCCCAAGTTGAGCCCAAGCAAAAGGCCCAAAATCCTTAAAACCCTAGAACCATTACTAATGAGACTCGGCATCGATTCTGCATCATGCTCAAATAACGGCTGAACAACAAACGTTCCAAGTTAATCTAAATGATTAATCAAAAGGTTACTACATGCACAACATACAAGCTATGCTATGAATTGAAAAAATGAGACAATTAGAGATCCATTTCTTGAAAAACTCCATGGCATACAACTTTAAATTACTAAAAGAAACCTTAAGTTAATTGGAAAAGCTAAAGTTTAAGCTTAAATTGAATCTCACAAGAACAAACTTACAGGACTTAAAACCATGTATTCAAAACGTCCATATATGCTCATGCGGGTAGAATAAAGGGAAACTATGGATTATTTTAACACATTCATGCCAAACTAAATTATCCTAACAATGACAAACCCCAACAGACTAAACTCACACCAAAGGGTATTTAAAACCCATTTAGGAAACAGCACAAAACAGAGCAAGGTAGCAGGATTACCTTTAACTAGCTAATCTCATATGATAATTAAGCATACATATTCTACCTACACTGGTGGCTGTCGAATATGCAACACTTTAAATGTATAGATGAATAACATGAAAATCACATATTTATTACAAAATACTAAAGTAACAGGATAATCAAAAGGGGATTTAAACTCCAAAAGCCTGTATTCCACTAGTGTTTCAGCTTACATGCTCAACCAAACATTCACTTATTCAGAGGTTGAGAAATACCTGGAAATGAAAAAGAAAAGGGGAAGAAGATCAGCAGTAAAACAGCAGCACACAACAATGGAACTGGCCTAGAGATGACCAAAGGAGAACCAGCTTTGAGGCACGTTCAAAACCAAAAGAAAATTCAATGGATGTTCAGTAAACAAAGACAGCCAAAATTGGACCCAAAGTTCTTCGAAATCAACCAAAATCAAGCCATTTTAACCTTTTTACTATCCAAAGTGATTTTAGAAATCAAGAGCCTCACTCAACCAGTTTTAATGGAACAATGTTTCTTTTAGCTATTTTTCAGCCATTTTTGTGTTTTTTGATTTCTTAGCTCCTCCCAATCTCTTAGGTCTCTTGGGTCTGCCTTGAAAGGCAAGAAAAGGTGCCTTTATAGGCAAGGAAAGTAGGGTAACAACAGATTTCAGCTATGCACTTTAGCCCTTTTTGAATTTTTATTTTTGCCTAGATACACCTAGCTAATTATCAGATTTTCAAGTTAGTCCCCCAATCCCCTTTCCTAGAAGCTTCCTAGGCAGTTACCAAATTATTTCCCTACCCAATTACCCAAACTACCCCCTAATGACCCTGAAATTACCACTGAAACCAAAACTCAAACATGGGTCGAATTGGCCCAACCCAATTGGTATGGGTCTGTAAACCCAAATTAGAGTCCACTTGGGCTTTTGATTTTCAGAAATCAATCAAAGATAAACCAGGACTCTCAATTTAAAGTCTGACCCAAAATTCCCAAAGAAAAAAAATCGGAATCCTTACAATGCAATCAAAACATGATGAGGGCATGAATCAATTAGCTTAGTCCATATAACAAGAAGTTAACTAAATTAAACTTATCTAAATTAACTGGACGAAAATCACGGGGCAGAAACTTAATCATGGTAAACGAACTAACTAAAAAAAACAGAAATAGATTTCGTCAAAGAGAACAAGAGAAAAGGAAAAAGAAAGCAAACATGGTGAGCTAGGGGGACAGATCTACGCTCAGAGGGTGAATCAACTTTCTACCAGATTATTATAAGCACTGGATCAAAGAGAAAGAGAAAGGAAAATGAGAAGGCGTTGACAAGGAAATACAAAAGGGAAAAGAGACTTACCAACTCGAGCCAACGGAACCGGACGGGTCAAAGATTCAAACCAATTTATGTCGATTTCAAACTCCAAAACTTAGGGAATAACACTCCCTGCACATGTAGGGTGCTAGACTTGACAAAAAATGGCTTCGAGTCTTCTAGGTGCCGAACTTGGATTCCAGATTCGAGGAATTTGGAATGGATTCGAGGGTAATGGGTTGGATATTTGGAATGAGGAAGGCCTGGTGGTCATCTGGTGTTAATTTGGTGGGTATTGGAGGAGGCGCCGCCACCCTAAGGCGGTGGGAAATGCTGGCGGCTCTAGGGTTAGGGATTTTGGTCTCTGAAAATGGGAGATGAGGGAGATGAGTGAGAGGGGGGGGGGGGGGGGGTTCGGACAATAATATATCAAATGACCCCTAGTTTAGAGTCGTTGGATCAAAGATCCTCGACGGCTCAGATCTATTCTGACCTAAACGATGTCGTTTGGTCGATGGGGGGGGAGGGGGGCTGGACTTGGGTAAATGGGTGGGAAATATTTGGGCCTTGGCATTGGACTGGCCCAATTCCGAGTCTTTAAGTCCAATCCCTCCATTTCCTTTTCTTTTAGTTCCCCTTTTTATTTTCAAATTCTTTGTAATTTCTTTTAAATTAAAATAAAAAATAAAATAAGACCTAAGCTAATTCCTAAATTAAATTAATCCTACCACATTGACTCAATTAACTCTAACTAATAATTACCACAATTAATTAAAAACGAAATTAAAGGAAAAACTACCCAAATTCAAAGCTAAAATTAAAAAGTGTGAAAATAAACTATTTTTTTGCGATTTTTCCATTTTTATAAAACAACTTAATTAATTAATCCTAAAATTTTAAATTAAATCCTAAATGCATATGCACGCACTTTTTTTGTATTTTTCTTTAATTAAACAAAAATAAAAATGTACAGACAAATGCGAACAATTAACACAAAATTCACAAAAAATTACAAATAATGAAAAAAATTATTTTGTTTTGAAATTATGGGCAAAATTCATATATTGTAGTAAAGTGGGTTCAAAAGTTGATGTAGGTCCTGGGTTTAAATCCTAATTATGACATCCTATAATATTTTGGAATCCCCTTGTATAAATTCAGGTTCCACCGCTACCGGGGTATCCCCCGTATCTGTATTATGTATTATCTATTTATTTATTCGATAATGAAGTCGTTGATTTTATATGTATGTGAAGGGAAATCAAGTAAGCTATGATCAAGTGGACTCAATATTGGTAGAGCCGTGGGGAGGAAAAGGTGGATCAGAGTGGAATTACAAACTGAAAAGTCCCATTAAAGAAATAGTCATTGCAAGTGGAGCGATTATAGACTCCATCATGTTCAGAACCGTTACTAGTGAAAGTACCATAGTTTATTCACCGAAGTTTGGTGGCAATGACGGAGGTCGAAGAGACAACGTAGGTCACAAACTGTGGTCAGAATATTATTTTCACATGTTTGGCACATTGTTCTCAAGTTAATTTTGTGTTATGTCACAATAATAAGCTTAAGCTATACATATTGACAAAGTAATTATTTTTATTATCATTACAAATAAATTGCTTATAAAAGTTATGGCAGAAACTCTATGGCAATAGTTATTGTGGTTGTTGATACAAGACTGTACTATACCGGTATTATATGTGTAAATTGTAGTAATTTTATCTCGGGTTAAAGATAATGAATGCACTTGTTGCTTTCAACATAGATCCTCACTTGAGTTTACTCGGAGATGGAGCTATTTAGGGAAGAATGTTCAATTAAACTCTCTTTGTCAGATAATACACCCGTGCAAAAAAGGGATAAGAGAAAATTTTGTTTGTAAATATAAATATATAAGTTGTTGAATTCTCTCGATTTATATATGAAAAGCTTTTAACGTAATGATAAACGTGGTTCAAACCGGTTATAGGTCATAAAGTATAAACCCTACGTGTGATCGATGTTCTTGCACTTTCTTGAATCCTTGTTAGAATTCTTTGTTTCGCTACTAATTTAACAATATGTTATTTGCACCAATATTAGGTTAATATTGAGGCGACACCATTGGAATATTTGAAAGGCATAAAGGGAACATCGGGACATTATGGCGGCCATTATGCTGTGAAATCTCTAAGTTTTATAACTAATGCAAAGAATTATGGATCATTTGGGAGTGAAGCGGGTGGAACCCCATTTTCACTTCTGATGAAAGAAGGTGGAGCTATTGTTGGATTTCGCGGGCATTCTGGGTTGTATCTTGATGCTATTGGTATTTATTTGTAGAAACTTACTCCTCCCACTTCGATAAAGGAACCTGAAACTGAAAAACTTGACCCGAATGAACCTATGGTTGAAGAAATTGAAATCCATGACGTAGATATTACTCTTTCTCTTAATTTGAATTGGATAAATCTCATTTTAGTTATCACATTAAAGTAGCGACAATTTACCCACTATGACAGAAAGTATACATGCCATAACAATAAAGTCACCTTAATAGGTAGGTTTAATCGTTTTAATGGATAAATTTTAGTTATTACAACGTGTCAAAAACTAATTTAGTGGCTTTATTGTTATAATGAGTAAGTTTTAGTTAATTTACCGTTATATTTGATAAAGTTCAGTTATTGTAATATGATATTTATGACGACATAATTTTTACCTTTTTTTTAATATTATCACATTGCAAACAGAAAATGGATGTGATGAAGACTAGAGCCACGAAGTCCTTGTGATGACCCAAAAGGCCATCACTTGTTTTTAAAATGAATTCTGCGTTCCGAGGCCTTAAAAACCTCTTTCAGCATCACCTCGATTTGCGTGCACAGTCCGGACGCGTAGACGGAAAGCTATTATGTAAAAATTTGTGAAAAATATTGAAATGTTGGCTTAAAATGCATTTAAGTTAACTTCGGTCAATATTTTGGGTAAACGGACCCGGACCCGTGATTTGACGGTCCCGGAGGGTCCGTAGAAAAATATGGAACTTGGGCGTATGCCCGGAATCAAATTCCGAGGTCCCAAGTCCGAGAAATGAATTTCTAAAAGAAATTATTTCCTGAAAAATATAAAGATTTTTGAAAGTGAAATGCTATGTGAAATCTGTGGTATCGGGCCCGTATTATGGTTCTGGAGTCCGGTACAGGTTCATTATGATTTATATGTGTTGCCGGTAAAGTTTGGTAAGAAACAGGATTCATTTGACGTGATTCAGACCTTAAATGCAAAATTTGATGTTTAAAGAAGTTTTGAGAAATTTCATTGATTTTGAGGTTTAATTCATTGTTTGAGAGGTTATTTTGGCGATTTGATCGCACGGATAAGTTCATATGATGTTTTTGAGTTAGTACGCATGTTTGGTTTGGAGCCCCGAGGGCTCGGGTGAGTTTCGGGTAGGTTCCGGGGTGTTTAAACTTAGGAAAACACTGTTGTTGCATCAGTTCTGGTGTAACTGCACTTGCGAGTCGAGCACCACAGGTGTGAGCTCGCAGGTGCGTACAGTGGGGAAGTGGAGAGGGACTCCTGGTCATTCTACCCGCAGTGTTATCTCTTATATGAAGGCTTGGCGTATGGTCGAGAAGGGGTGTTTGGCCTATTTAGCCTATGTTCGTGATTCTAGTGCTGAGGTTCCTCCTATTGAGTCTGTGCCTATTGTTCGTGAGTTTCCGGAGGCATTCCCTTCAAACCTGCCGGGTATGCCACCCGATAGGGATATTGACTTTTGCATTGATTTGGCTCCGGGCACTCAGTCCGTATCATATGGCCCCGCCTGAGTTGAAAAAGTTTAAGGAGTAGTTGCAAGACTTGCTCGAGAAGGGTATCATTAGACCTAGTGTTTCGCCTTGGGGTCAACGGTGTTGTTTGTTAAGAAGAAGGATGGATCGATGAGGATGTGTATTGATTACCGGTAGTTGAACAAGGTTACAATCAAGAATAAGTATCCATTACCGAGGATTGATGATTTGTTTGATCAGCTTCAGGGTGCCAAGGTATTTTCGAAGATTGACTTGAGATCTGGCTACCATCAGTTGAGGATTAGGGCATCCGATGTCCCTAAGACAGCTTTCCGAACTCGGTACGGGCATTATGAGTTCTTGGTGATGTCATTCGGGTTGACGAATGCCCCAGCAACTTTTATGGATTTGATGAACCGAGTGTTCAGGCCTTACTTGGACTCGTTCGTGATAGTCTTCATTGATGATATTTCGATATATTCCCGCAGCCGGGAGGAGCACGATCAGCATCTTAGAGTGGTTCTTCAGACCTTGAGGGATAGTCAGTTATATGCTAAGTTCTCGAAGTGTGAGTTCTGGTTGAGTTCAGTTGCATTCCTGGGTCACGTTTTATCAGCAGAGGGTATTCAGGTTGATCCGAAGAAGATTAAGGCAGTCAAGAACTGCCTAGACCAGCATCAGCTACAGAGATTCGGAGTTTCTTAGGGTTGGTAGGCTACTATCGTCGGTTCATGGAGGGGTTTTCATCTATCACAGCCCCGATGAAGAGGTTGACCCAGAAGGGTGCCCAGTTCAGATGGTCGGAGGAGTGTGAGGCAAGCTTTCAGAAGCTCAAGCCAGCTCTGACTACGGCACTAGTGTTGGTTTTGCCCATAGGTTCAGGGCCTTATACAGTCTATTTTGATGCATCTCGTATCGGACTTGGTGCAGTGTTGATGCAGGATGGCAAGGTCATTGCCTATGCTTCACGGCAGTTGAAGATTCATTAGAAGAACTATCCGGTTCATGATTTGGAGTTGGCAGCCATTGTTCACGCATTGAAGATTTGGAGGCATTATCTGTATGGCGTGACATGTGAAGTGTTCACGGATCACAAGAGTCTACAGTACTTGTTCAAGCAAAATGAGTTGAATTTGAGGCAGAGGAGGTGGTTGGAGCTGTTGAAAGACTATGATATCACTATCTTATATCATCTGGGAAAGGCCAATGTGGTGGCCGATGCTTTGAGTAGGAAGTCACCCTGTATGGGCAGTCTTGCTTATATTCCGGTCGGTGAGAGACCGCTTGCTTTGGATGTTCAGGCTTTGGCCAATCAGTTCGTGAGGTTGGATGTTTCTGAGCCCGGCCGTGTGTTAGCTTGCACAGTCGCTCGTTCTTCATTATTGGAGCGTATCCGAGATCGACAGTATGATGATCCCCATTTATGTGTCCTTAGAGATACGGTGCAGCACGGAGGTGCCAAGTAGGTTACCTTAGGTGATGATGGAGTCTTGAGATTGCAGGGTCAAGTTTGTGTGCCTAATGTGGATGGTCTTCGAGAGTTGATTTTAGAGGAGGCCCATAGCTCCCGGTACTCTATTCATCCGGGTGCTACTAAGATGTATCAGGATTTGCGGCAGCATTATTGGTGGAGGAGAATGAAGAAGGATATCGTTGCATATGTGGCTCGGTGTTTGAATTGTCAGCAGGTTAAATACGAGCATCAGAAGCCTGGTGGTTTGTTCCAGAAGATTGAGACCCCTGAGTGGAAGTGGGAGCGTATCACTATGGACTTCGTTGTTGGTCCCACGGACTCAGAGGAAGTTCGATGCGGTGTGGGTTATAGTTGATAGGCTGACTAAGTCAGCGCATTTCATTCCTGTGGCAGTTTCCTATTCTTCTGAGAGATTAGCTGAATCTATATCTGGGAGATTGTTCGTCTTCATGGTGTGCCCGTGTCTATCATTTCGGATCGAGGTACGCAGCTTACCTCACATTTATGGAAAGCAGTTCAGCGAGAGTTGGGCACACGGGTTGAGTTGAGCACAACATTTCATCCTCAGACGGACGGGCAGTCAGAGCGGACTATTCAGATTTTGGAAGATATGCTCCGAGCTTGTGTCATTGACTTTGGAGGCTCGTGGGATCATTTTTTGCCTTTAGCGGAGTTTGCCTACAACAACAGCTACCAGTCGAGTATCCAGATGGCTCCTTATGAGGCTTTATATAGTAGGCAGTGTCGGTCGCCGGTTGGGTGGTTTGAGCCGGGAGAGGCTCGGTTGTTGGGTACGGATTTGGTTCAGGACGCCTTGGAAAAGGTTAGGATTATTCAGGATAGGCTTCGTACAGCTCAGTCCAGGTAAAAGAGTTATGCCGACCGCAAGGATCGTGATTTGGCTTTCATGGTCGGTGAGCGGGTATTGCTTCGAGTGTTGCCTATGAAGGGCGTGATGAGATTTGGGAAGAAGGGCAAGCTTAGCCCTAGGTTCACTGGCCCGTTTGAGATTCTTGACCGAGTGGGAGAGGTGGCTTATAGACTTGCATTTTCGCCTAGCTTATTAGCCGTGCATCCAGTGTTTCATGTGTCCATGCTTCGGAAATATCACGGCGATCTATCCCACGTGTTAGATTTCAGCACCGTCCAGTTGGACAAGGACTTGTCTTACGAGGAGGAGCCGGTGGCTATTCTAGACCGGCAGGTTCGTCAGTTGAGGTCGAAGAGTTTTCCTTCTGTTCGTGTTCAGTGGAGGGTTCAGCCTGCTGAGGCATCGACCTGGGAGTCCGAGTCCGATATGCGGAGCCGTTATCCCCATCTTTTCCCCGACTCAGGTACTTCCTTCTTATGTCCGTTCGAGGACGAACGATTGTTTTTTTAGAGGTGGAGGATGTGATGACCCAAAAGGTCATCACTTGTTTTTAAAATGAATTCGGCGTTCCGAGGCCTTAAAAACCTCTTTCAACATCACCTCGATTTGCGTGCGCAGTCCGAAAGCATAGCCGGAAAGCTATTATGTAAAAATCTGTGAAAAATATTGAATTTTTGGCTTAAAATGCATTTAAGTTGACTTCGGTCAATATTTTGGGTAAACGGACCCAATCCCGTGATTTGACGGTCCCGGAGGGTCCGTGGAAAAATATGGGATTTGGGCGTATGTTCGGAATCGAATTCCGAGGTCCCAAGTCCGAGAAATTAATTTTTAAAAGAAATTATTTTCTGAAAAATAAAAAAAAATTTTGAAAGTGAAATGCTATGTGAAATTTATGGTATCGGGCCCGTATTATGGTTCTGGAGCCCGGTACAGGTTCAATATGATTTATATGTGTTGCCGGTAAAGTTTGGTAAGAAACGGGATCCATTTGACGTGATTCAGACCTTAAATGCGAAATTTGATATTTAAAGAAGTTTTGAGAAATTTCATTGATTTTGAGGTTTAATTCGTTGTTTGAGAGGTTATTTTGGCGATTTGATCGCACGAATAAGTTCATATGATGTTTTTGAGTTAGTACGCATATTTGGTTTGGAGCCTCGAGGGCTCGGGTGAATTTCGGGTAGGTTCCGGGGTGTTTAAA